CCCCCCCCAATTGCAAGGAACATTGTAGAGAACAAGTTCTCCATTGATCAAGGAATCACAAGTTGGTGTACATGTTCCATCTGCAAAGCTGGTCCAAAAGTTTGTGGGACTTTGTAGATTTCAGATCAAATTGATCCAGTTACTTAAAAAATAGTTTAATTGCTGAAACTATTTGATGAAACCATTTCTCTGGGAGAATTTTCCAATCTCCTTCACTTGTTGAAGTGAGTTTTAGAAAATCCTTGATTCCAGAATTTTTAGGAACAAATTACACTATCTAGTTCAATGGGAAGGATATGGGCCAGAAGAAAATTCTTAGGACCCTAAGGAGAACATACAAGTTCCTAGATTACCAAGAAATTCTAATGTAGATGGTAATGGTGCAAAAAGGGGGGATTTAGAGCCTATGCAATAAAAGTAATGCAGTCTCATATAGCTCAAAGTCCACATAAAAAGTCCAAGGAAGACATAGCACTAGCGGCAGCTGACCCCAGAGTAAGCTAGCTCTGTAGTGAAAACAAATAAGAAGACACAAGGAAGCACCATCTAAGTGCAGTATGTAAGACAACCTTTAATGGGTCTACCCATCCTGCAAGATCTTCTGATAGCAATTGTGTGGCTGTAGGCTGTGTTGATAGGGCCAAGGATGCTGATAAAGATCCCGGAACCATCCCTGGCCAGCTTGGAACGCACATGGTGGGCAGATGTAACACCAGCAACGGGGAAAAGATGAGTGCTAAGCAATAGGCTATGAGCTCGGAGCAAACTGATCTTTCTACAGCCCAGCAGCACTAACAGATCAACCTATAGTATAAATATATACATCTGCTGAACCATAATAAAAAGAAGAGGCTATTTTAACTGTAACACCAAAAAAATAAAAATATAGAAATACAATAATAATAATATTAAAATCAGTATACTTACAGGGATGTCATTATAAAAATACCATAAGGGTCAAGGAATCATATTTCTATAAAACCATAAGGGTCTCCTGTAAAGATATATAAAAAAGAAAACATTCATAAAAATGTAATGTTAATAAGAAATACTAATCTCACCTACCAAACAATGAGACATAACAATACTAAGATCCCATTTATAGAAAAATATGTAAATATATGTCTACACTTTAAACTACATGGAAGAAGACCAGAGATCATAATGATTATTATTCTTCACCCTGCAGGGGTCATAATTAGAGATGAGCGAATTATTCAAAAATTCGATTCGGCTGATTTGCCGAATTCGCGGAATAAATTCGATTCGAGGCGAATATATTCGCTGCGAATTTAACTTATAAAAAGGGTGTTTCTAGGCTTCAGAGAGCCTTTATATTAGTGCAGAACACTGTACCTTTAATTTAAATGCCCTTGGAGTCTGCTGGGGAAGAGAACTAATACTGTCAGTCAGTATGACATGCAGATGAGTGCCGTCGATCTTAGAATCACCGCACACTTCACTCATTTGGGCAGTCACGGGGCCAAAACCAGAGTGTGGAGCCACAGTGTGGCGGTGGAGGCAGCAGCAATGGGAGGCCATACAGCACCCTATGACAAAATGGAACCCACCAGCAGTGTGAGGAGACCTGAAAGTGGCACATGGCAGAGTGTGGCGATGGAGACAGCAGCAATGGGAGGCCGTACAGGGACCCATGACACACTCTGGACCTGGCAGCAGCATGAGGAGGCGGTACAGGGGCCCATGACAGATTACGGGCCTGGCAGCAGCAGTGGGCGGGCGGTGGATGCAGCAGTATTCGGAAGCCAAACACAGGCCTCGGTTAAAAAGCGGAAGCCGTCAGCAGCGTGAGCAGATGACAGAGACACATGGCGCAGGGTGGCGGTGGATGCAGCAGTATTCGGAAGCCAAACACAGGCCTCGGTTAAAAAACGGAAGCCGTCAGCAGCGTGAGCAGACGACAGAGGCACATGGCGCAGGGTGGCGGTGGAGGCAGCAGTATTCGGAAGCCATACACAGGCCTAGGTTAAAAAGCGGAAGCCGTCAGCAGTGTGAGCAGACGACAGAGACACATGGCACAGGGTGGCGGTGGATGCAGCAGTATTCGGAAGCCAAACACAGGCCTCGGTTAAAAAGCGGAAGCCGTCAGCAGCGTGAGCAGACGACAGAGGCACATGGCGCAGGGTGGCGGTGGAGGCAGCAGCAATGGAAGGCCATACAGCACTCTATCACAAAATGGAACCCACCAACAGTGTAAGGAGACCTGAAAGTGGCACATGGCGCAGGGAGCAAGTAACGGAGCGGGTGATGGAGCGGGGGCTGGGGCAGGCAGAACCGCTGTATCTTTATCACGGTTTTTCCCAGGCCACCGAATGGCGATGCTGCATATGCTGACGCAACGCTGTAGTCCCAACATGGGCCCCCTGGCCACGCTTGACTTTCTGGCCACATAGTCGACATACGGCTACGTTTACTTCCTCGGGCGGCTTGACGAAAAATTGCCACACCGCCGAGTAGGAAACTTTGCCCCCGATACTCCTCACTGGCTGACTGCTACTTCCTCCGTGCACACCGGCACCACTACTGGCCGTGGTGGTAGGCTGCAGTGGAGCTGGTGCTCTACTCCGTGGCCGTTTGCCTCCACTGACACTGCTGCGACCTTGCTGCCTCCTGGGCAACCCACCGACTGTTTTGCTCGCTGGCAAGCTGGCACCCTCTTCTCTGATGATACGGAAGCAATAGCCTGATGACGACGAGGCTGCCAAGTGCGATCAGCCTCATCATCATCAATTAGGGTCTCCGCGTCACTACTAGCCCCCTCGGCTGCGTGTGGGTCAGGAGACAGACCTGTCTCTAGACCGGCTACCGAGCCACTCTCCTCGCCAGTACTTCTTCGCCTGGCTGCTGAAGAGGCGGATGTCTCCCCCCGTTCCTGACAGCCCTCTGTTAGCTCTTCCTCACTGTACAGTGGGGCTGAGCCCACAGCATGCGATACTTCGCTTGGTGAGGGAACACCAAAGGACAGGGGCAGGTAGAGGACACGTGATTTCAGTGGGCTTGCTCCCGGGCCATGCCAACTAACGGTTGTGTCTGACGTACCCACCGACCATTGGCTGTAGGTGTCAGAGGTGACCTGGGAAGAGGAAGACGACCGAGTCAACCAATCGATGACGGCAGGGTTGTCGGTGGAGACACGACCGCTGGATGACACCGGGAGCACTGGCCTCTGGCTGCGACTAGTGCTGCCTCGACCCCTTCCTCTGCTGCCACGTCTGCTCGCTCCTGAAACATTGCCTCCTCTGCCACTCCTCTGCGTGTTGTCTGACATACTCTTTAATTCAATAAGCACCCCAAACATAAAACAGGATTTAACTCTTTGAACGTACAATAGTGGTTGTGAAGCAGAAAGAAACGATTCTGTGTCCCTGAGTAACAATTCTGTGTCCCTGAGTAACGATTCTGTGTCCCTGAGTAACGATTCTGTGTCCCTGAGTAACAATTCTGTGTCCCTGAGTAACGATTCTGTGTCCCTGAGTAACAATTCTGTGTCCCTGAGTAACGATTCTGTGTCCCTGAGTAACAATTCTGTGTCGTCCCTGAGTAACAATTCTGTGTCTGTCCCTGAGTAACGATTCTGTGTCCCTGAGTAACAATTCTGTGTCCCTGAGTAACGATTCTGTGTCCCTGAGTAACAATTCTGTGTCCCTGAGTAACAATTCTGTGTCCCTGAGTAACGATTCTGTGTCCCTGAGTAACAATTCTGTGTCTGTCCCTGAGTAACGATTCTGTGTCCCTGAGTAACGATTCTGTGTCCCTGAGTAACGATTCTGTGTCCCCTGAGTAACAATTCTGTGTCCCTCAGTAACGATTCTGTGTCCCTCAGTAACAATTCTGTGTCCCTGAGTAACAATTCTGTGTCCCTGAGTAACAATTCTGTGTCCCTCAGTAACGATTCTGTGTCCCTCAGTAACGATTCTGTGTCCTGAGTAACAATTCTGTGTCCCTGAGTAACAATTCTGTGTCCCTGAGTAACGATTCTGTGTCCCTGAGTAATGATTCTGTGTCCCTCAGTAACAATTCTGTGTCCCTGAGTAACAATTCTGTGTCCCTGAGTAACGATTCTGCGTCCCTGAGTAACAATTCTGTGTCCCTGAGTAACAATTCTGTATCTGTCCCTGAGTAACGATTCTGTGTCCCTGAGTAACGATTCTGTGTCCCTGAGTAACAATTCTGTGTCCCTGAGTAACAATTCTGTGTCCCTGAGTAACGATTGTGTCCCTCAGTAACGATTCTGTGTCCCTGAGTAACAATTCTGTGTCCCTGAGTAACGATTCTGTGTCCCTGAGTAACAATTCTGTGTCCCTGAGTAACAATTCTGTGTCCCTGAGTAACGATTCTGTGTCCCTGAGTAACAATTCTGTGTCTGTCCCTGAGTAACAATTCTGTGTCCCTGAGTAACAATTCTGTGTCCCTGAGTAACGATTCTGTGTCTCTCAGTAACGATTCTGTGTCCCTGAGTAACATTTCTGTGTCCCTGAGTAACAATTCTGTGTCCCTGAGTAACGATTCTGTGTCCCTCAGTAACAATTCTGTGTCCCTGAGTAACGATTCTGTGTCCCTGAGTAACGATTCTGTGTCCCTGAGTAACGATTCTGTGTCCCTGAGTAACAATTCTGTGTCTGTCCCTGAGTAACGATTCTGTGTCCCTGAGTAACAATTCTGTGTCCTGAGTAACGATTCTGTGTCCCTGAGTAACGATTCTGTGTCCCTGAGTAACAATTCTGTGTCCCTGAGTAACAATTCTGTGTCCCTGAGTAACGATTGTGTCCCTCAGTAACGATTCTGTGTCCCTGAGTAACAATTCTGTGTCCCTGAGTAACGATTCTGTGTCCCTGAGTAACAATTCTGTGTCCCCTGAGTAACAATTCTGTGTCCCTGAGTAACGATTCTGTGTCCCTGAGTAACAATTCTGTGTCTGTCCTGAGTAACAATTCTGTGTCCCTGAGTAACAATTCTGTGTCCCTGAGTAACGATTCTGTGTCTCTCAGTAACGATTCTGTGTCCCCTGAGTAACATTTCTGTGTCCCTGAGTAACAATTCTGTGTCCCTGAGTAACGATTCTGTGTCCCTCAGTAACAATTCTGTGTCCCTGAGTAACGATTCTGTGTCCCTGAGTAACGATTCTGTGTCCCTGAGTAACGATTCTGTGTACCTGAGTAACAATTCTGTGTCTGTCCCTGAGTAACGATTCTGTGTCCCTGAGTAACAATTCTGTGTCCCTGAGTAACGATTCTGTGTCCCTGAGTAAACAATTCTGTGTCCCTGAGTAACGATTCTGTGTCCCTGAGTAACGATTCTGTGTCCCTGAGTAACAATTCTGTGTCCCTGAGTAACGATTGTGTCCCCTCAGTAACGATTCTGTGTCCCTGAGTAACAATTCTGTGTCCCTGAGTAACGATTCTTTGTCCCTGAGTAACAATTCTGTGTCCCTGAGTAACGATTCTGTGTCCCTGAGTAACAATTCTGTGTCTGTCCCTGAGTAACAATTCTGTGTCCCTGAGTAACAATTCTGTGTCCCTGAGTAACGATTCTGTGTCTCTCAGTAACGATTCTGTGTCCCTGAGTAACATTTCTGTGTCCCTGAGTAACAATTCTGTGTCCCTGAGTAACGATTCTGTGTCCCTCAGTAACAATTCTGTGTCCCTGAGTAACGATTCTGTGTCCCTGAGTAACGATTCTGTGTCCCTGAGTAACAAATTCTGTGTCTGTCCCTGAGTAACGATTCTGTGTCCCTGAGTAACAATTCTGTGTCCTGAGTAACAATTCTGTGTCCCTGAGTAACGATTCTGTGTCCCTGAGTAACGATTCTGTGGCCCTAAAGTCTGTGGCCCTAACTCTGTCCCTAATACAGACAGGTCTGTCTCTCTTGAATGACCGGAGGCTAATGGAGAATTCTAAGATGGCCGCGATTTATAGCTCCACCATTACACAGTGCTGGCTGGCTGGCTGGCTGCTGATTGGCTAATGCGATCACATGTCATGAATGAATGCATTATGGGTCAGCGCGCCTTGTCTGTGCGCCTTCCCAGAGATCCCCGCTCCGTCGCCACACACATGTCGCTGCCATTTTTGGGAAAATTCGATTTGTGCATCCGAAGTTTGCTAATTTTCGGATTCGGCGCGAATCGAATTTTTCCTAATCTTCGAAACGAATTCCACTTCGTCATGTTCGATTCGCTCATCTCTAGTCATAATATATGTGGAGGAAATGAATTAATCCAAAGGAAAGAAAAAAACAAGCAAAAATTCCCTGAAAGGGATTAAAAGAAAAAAATAAGTGTGCCACAGAAAAAAAACAGAGTTTATAACACAGTATGTACTGCAATTTCTTTATTAAAACCACCTGGGGGCGGGGAGAGCCGGGGGACAGGGCGGGGTCAGAGTACCTAGTATGTAGATCCAGAATCACTTGAAAAGTTCTGCCATGGGGAGCAATTTGGGTACAGACTCAAAAACCTACTCTGCCAATCCCAAGGATGATTTTTGGTGATACCTAAGAAAATGCCTAAGGACGCTGTGCACTTCCCTTATTCTTCCTGTTTGTAACAAGAGAAAATCACCAGAGGTCATAATCCTGTCCCTAAGACATTCAGTGGCTGTCCTGGAAAGAGGGGAGTATTGTCATAATCTGCATGTGAACCCAGGAACTTTGTTGCATCTGACAGTGACTCTTCTTACTGTGTCAAGTGAGATGGTGGACAGCTCTCTGTCTGATACCTTGGACAACCTTATTTTCTATTTTGCTTCTAATAAACCTTAAACCCCTTGCTCCTCCCATGCCATTCCTATTTAGTCTATGTATTTGAACTTCCTTTTGCCTGATTATTGTGTTCTTCTCCAAACCAATATCTGTCTTCTTGTGCTCCTGCTGCTATCCATATCTTCACTACCACTCATTAACAACTTTTGGCTTGTTCCTCGACTATGCTTCCACTTGATGCCAACCTGAAACCACTTATTATTGATCTTACTGACTATGATTATTCTTGATCCCTACCTGCTACATCTGTTATTGGACACAGGCTTGCCTATCTCAGGGTGGGGTCCTGAGGACTGAGACCTTAAACTACTAATCTGCAAAACCAATCTCCACCATCAGGAGCTCTGGTGAAGACTGGTTAGTGCTCTGACCCCCTTCCCTCAGATGAGCCTCCATCACCTGCCAGGGTGACCTGCTCATGCATTTATCCTACTAATTTCTGTGTGAACCTTTCCATTGTTATTGCTAATGACCTCCATGCCTGACCCCTGATTGTGACAATTTTACACCCACCCCCTTGTCAAACACCCAATCTCCCATTAACAGTTTCACCCCCCCTCCCCCCCTCACACTGACAACTTGCCTTAACTGAAGGACTCTGAAACGGTGCCCCAAGAGATTCCACAGCATATGACTGATATTATCACTATAGCAAGAATGCATTTACTGTATACTTCTCACCAATTGCCCATAAAGTGTTTAATAAATATTTTCATGTGTATGACTCCTCACTTGAGAGTCTTCTCAGCTCATGCTTACAAAAGCCTCCAGTCTGAGGAAGTAGAACCCTGCCAGGTATCTCTGGAAGCTGAGCTTCCTGGGACCCTCACAAGGCCTCATTGACCATCCTTCTGAGAGACCGAAAACTGGAGCCCTGAGCCAATACAAAAAGGAAACATGAATCCTGTCCAGTGCTGCTGCACAGCCAAAGGCCACCTATTATGTATTATATTAGTAGACAGCCATTCCTTTGGAACGAATAGAGAGTCTACTGCATTAACCTTTTCACACAGACAGTACGCAAATATGCGGCCTCTCGGAGGCTTGGTATTGACGCCGAGCGACCGCATATTTGCATCCCATTTGTAAACAAACGTGCTGAAAGTGCGCTCCCTGTGAGCTCCCAGCACATGTGTTGGCGTCCCACGGAAAGGTCCCTATCACAGCAGTCACATGACTCTAAACCCCGCCCCCCTCCCGGTGTCAGAAACCCCTTAAAGGGCCGGGATGCATCGGCGTGAAGGGTTTAATGCGAGCCGCCTATGGCAATCTTTTTTTACATGCAAGCGGTCTCTGGCAGCCTTTCATTAATTGCATGCATGCAGTTTTTGACAGTTTCTTGATCTGTAACAGTCAATTGTAGGTAGGGCCGACTATTCTGTTACTGCAGAAAATGAATGAAGACTTTTGTGATAAAAGCATATTTTCTTACAATATTTATTATTATAGTATAAAAGTGCCAACAATTTGCACATACTGTATAAAAATAGATTACATAAAATTATTGGCAAAACACCATATAGCAAATTGAAGTCCGGGTAGACTACATATCACAACATATAAAAACCATGCTGTGATACTGTGATATCCCTTCAGAGCACATGCAACAGTGACACCACTGGCTGCATGCTGTGTGAATATTTGCTCAACGATGCACATTTAGGAGATATACACTGTACCTACAGTTAAGCCTTGTTATAGGCTTACCTGTAGGTACAACTTACAAAGTGAACTTTATTTCCACTTTAAAGTCCCCCCTCCCCCCAGCATGTAATTTAAAAAATTAGAAAGATTTTCTTGTGTCATTCTTAAGTTCACATGAAATGAGGGCCCTCTCCCCACTGGACTGTATTTTTTAATTGCAATTTGTAATGATACACGCCCCCCTGGCAGTGCCCTTTGTTTGATGATCGATTTCCTATTAGCCTTGGAATTGGTCTGAATTGAAAATGTTTTGATGAGTTTGCTAACCTCTTGAGAATCAAACCAGGACAGATTCACCCATCACTACTTTCTACACAATGTAGGCATATAAAAAAAGAATAAATTGTATTATTATTATTAATATTGCTATTATATTTACTGATATATTTATTATCTCTTAAAGACCAATCTAAAGGCAGTATGTGTTTTAAGATCTTTTTTTTAATTTTATTTTTTTATTCAAATTAATACTTTTTGAGAGCAAGTCCAACAATAGACTTAAAAAGAATGGTGGCATGCTCCCATTTCCTTTTCTCTGCATGGTTGCAGAAAAGATGTGAAAACATTAGAAAAGGGCAGATCGTTTGTATCCTCCTAGAATTAATGCTAAAATAATATCCAACACTATTCGCTTAGTTTGATTCCTGTATATAGAGTGCGTAAGACAAACAGTATGACTTTTAATTTGAAGGTTTTAAATAAAACAACTGGTTCAAAAGTCAGTATAGTGAACACTGAATATTTTAACTATAATTTAAAAAAAATAGCAATAGCTGTAAGTGCACACCCGCTGGCCATTGCAATAAACTCTCTATGACTGCACTGTTTTACAGAAATTTGCTTTTTTATGGGAAAATCACAGCAGCAACAGGTTATTGAGGTTAACACAGCCAGAAGATTAAATTATACTTAAGATGAACACCTGATTATTATGAATCATACAGGGAACACAATTTAAAAGAAGATAGAAAAATGAAAGCAGTGTCTGATAAGTTCCTCTTCTAACTCTTGGATATGTACCTAATATAGCTTATTCAAAATAATATGACATTCTACTATCCAGCCAATTCATTTTTCAAAAAGGCATAAATGTCTTCTATTTTCAGTGCATACAAACATAGAACTATTAATACTTTTATTGGGAATGTTAGCAAAGCATTTGAATGTAAACAAATTCATAAGCTATGTGTCTATTTTACATCTCCTTTTAATATAACCGCTAAATATTTAAGAGCTGGTACTAATAGGAATGTATAGTGATTTTTTACATTTCTTCATTTACTGTATTATGGTAAGGACAAAATATATATATATATATATATATATATATATATATAAAAATATTTTATTTCCCAAACTTATTTTTTAAGTCAGGTAAATATTATTTAATAATTTTTTCATCTCTTTGTAGCCTCCCCAAAAATGCTTATTTATAGATTTAAGAGTTTTAAAAATGTAGTTTACACACAAAGTGACTGACTAACAAGTCATCCCTTATCACATAGCCCACTACAAAATTTCAATCTGAAACAGAGCTTCCAAGCATGCATCACCTAAACTGTCTATTTAGCAAACACAGCTCTGGGAGTCATTTGCTGTATATGAAATGTCTATTTGTTTACTTGACTCAGTACCTCAAGCTGTAATTTACACTCAAAGTGAGTAACAATGTTTCAGTCAGACAAATGGAGGCCCAAGACAGGTAACATCTGCTATGCTCTGTCCTTGTGCATGCATCCAAAAGCCCTTAGGCCTTGTTTAGATGGGTGGCAGTCTTCAAACTGTTACTGTAACTGGAAATATGTGGGCCAATGTCCTGTGATTCCATAGTGCATATTTGTGTTCCTGTTCAAAATACCTTTCACCATTGTATCATCTTATAGTGTCCATGTCCTTTCTTGTCAAATTAATGACTTGGACAGAGGAGGAAGAAGAACCAGATGGTGAGTTATTGATAGAGCTTCCTTCATTCTGAGATG